GGGGGGGGGGGGGGGGGGGGGGGGGGGGGGGGGGGGGGGGGGGGTTACGTAGAGGGGCAGCGGCGGCCGTGGTGGCCGGGGGGAGGCATGTCTTGTCAATTACCCTACCCCCCGCGCGTGCCGTTTGGGACGAGGAAAGGGGAAGACGCGCACGTGAGAAACAAGAGAGATCCCGGGAACTCATGGCTGGCGGCGGACAAAATGCCTTTGTGGAGGAACATCGTTTGAGATGTTCCGGCGGTCATGGAGAATGGCCGAATGAAACATGAACGACTTGTCATGTATGTGCCGAGCGCGCGGTACGACTCTGCTGATCGGATAAACATTTCCCTGACGATTGCTCTTTGTTGGTCGTACTGGTCCTGTTCAGCTCATGATTCGGGGGATGATATCAAGGAGACGTTCAAATGATCGGCTGCGCACCAACTACTAAACGATCAACGCCACCAACAACAAGTCTCCTGCTCACCATGACTCTTGCGAACCTCTGGGCCTCTACTTTAGAACGGTCCCAACCGGAAAGGCCGGCCGCATGGAGCGGTCGGCCCTCGTCATCCCCCTGCCCCACAGGTGCATCCCGCGTAGCCCCTGCCGTCTCCCTCGCGAACTCCAAAAGGTGACCGAGCTCCTTGAGAGCTGCTTCGAGGTTCTCTCGCGCGAGCCCGGCCAGTTTGGCTTCGGCTTTCGCCCTTGCCGCCTCCTGTCGTACCAAATGCGTAGCATGAGTATAGTAGAGCAGAGGTTCGACAGAGCTAAAAAAAAAACTATACGCATGAACAAAAGGGATCTCGGTAAGGAACAATCGGAGCGTATGGTCTGCTCCTCCTGCACTTTCCCTGACGGACGACAAGAGGTGGGGAGGGGGGCACAACCAAACGCACGGCATGCAAGGCATTGTACAGGAAGGAAAGGGTATGTGCATTCTACAATCACGGCCTTCTCACAACCGCAGCACACATCATAAAAAAGAAACAACATCAAGGCCGCTACCAACAAGCTTACCACCACCGCAACTGACAAAAGCAACACCAACAGCGACAACCTGAACAAGAGCCTCCCGCTCATCATTCGCCTCCGACCTAGCCTCGACAGCCCCCTTCAGGTCCACGGCAAGCCCGTTGCACATCCGTCTCAGTGCCTCCCTCTCTCCCTCCACCTCCCGCCGAAGCGCCCGCTCTCTCTCTATCTGCTCCCCCCCAGCCCCTCCTCCCTCCCGTCCGTTTCCATTCGCCGGACGCTTTCGCCCGCCGGTGGGCACCCCCGTTCTTTCTTCCAAAATAACGCCACCGCCGCCGCCCCCGCCGCCGCCGCCAGTTCTCCCTCCTACACCACCGTCATCGACGGTGGTCGACCCCTCCCCCGACGGCCCGTTGTCGCCAACACCACCATGCTCGCCGGTAGAACATAGCCTCGCCGCGCTTGCTTGGCGATTACGCCGCTCCTTGTCCAAATTTCGCCGCCTCTCCGATTCCGTCGCCTCCTCGCCAAGCCGCAAGATCTCCGCGTGGGCGGCTCCGAGCTGCGCCTTGAACCGCTCGCGCTCCTCCTCCAGCCGTTCAGCGGCGTCTTTGAGGTCTCCGTCGGCCCTCCGGCGAGAAGCTTCTCGCGCGGACTCGACCCGACGCCTCGCTGTTTCCCGGGCATCATTCTGGATCGAATGGGTTAACAGGTGGGGCGAAAAAATGTGGAAACAGAGATGACATAAGAAGGGTTCGGGNCATCCGTTGTGTAACTGCCAATCGACGAGAGAGAGAGAGAGAGAGAGAGAGAGAGAGAGAGAGAGAGAGAGAGAGAGAGAGAGATGAATGCATGCATACAGATTGGTTTTTCTTGGAGGGAACGTTTGACAGCCAATGATCATCACGAACACGCTCGATGCGGCAGAGAGAGCTTTGAGTGACCGTCGTTGATTTGCAGTAAGGTTGCAAAGATAGAGTCGTATGTATGCAACGAAATGAGATATCCTCGGAGATACCGTACAGGCATACATATTCGTACTGCACTTTTTCCGAGACTGACGCGCTAGGCTTAGGGTGGTAGAGACTTCTTGAAAGGCGTACTCATATTTGTCTTCCAGAACACCGCATAGAGTGTGCCGATTTGTGCCAAAGCACGCAGAAAATAAATGAGCAAGGAAACTCGATATGCGCAACTCTTTGTCGGTACCGTACTACGCAAACCCAGACCCGCAAATTTGCGTACTCGAAGGAGATGAGCGGCCACGTCGAGATACAAAATGGTTGGAATACCGCGGCAGTGTTCTAGGCGAGACCACCTGCTACTCCTGCCGCAAGTTGTGTGTATTCATCCTAAACCCCGAAAACGGCAGCACCCTCATCAATCCCCAACGTAACCCACCTCATCCTCTCGCAGCCTTGCCACGAGGGCCCGTAGCGACGCCACCTCCCGCCGGAGACCCATGGCCTCCTCGCGGACCCCGAGCAAACCGGCCGTCGCCTCCAGGAGTTTCCTCTCGAGCACGCTTTTCCCGTCCACGGCCGCCACCGTGGCTGCAGCCGTTGGTCCTCGCTGTGGAGCCTCCAAGGCGGCGCCCCCCACATCACCGGGATGTGGCAGTCTACGACGACACTTCTGCGCGTGCATGCGTGAAAGGGAGAGGGTAACATGAAGGTCCGACTCTCGGACGGGGGGTGAGGGGTGCACTCATAGTCGTGCATGCCGTAGTCGTTAGACCATTGACCTCCCGTCCCTACAAAGCCGGGACGGACGGGGAGAGAAAATACGGATGCGATCATGTCGATGTTCCCTGGCGTGGAGAGCAAAACAACCTTCTACTCATTGTACAGAGCGGTGTTTGGGGTCTCTACCGGACAGGCGTTTTCTGCCGGGCACCATAACACAATAACGCACAACGTCCGAGACCTGGAGTCTCACTCACCAACAAAATCCCTCCATCCTGCCCTGCTCTAGCCGAGCCCGCTAGCAACTACCCCAAGGCATACATTCACACACCCCGCCTCTCCCACACCTGCGCTTTTTGAAGGGCCGGTGCCACGAATTCTGTGTGCCAGCGTTCGAGGGTGGCACGAAGGCGAAGCGTTTCCCCGCAGAGCTTCTCAACACGACGCTCGCTGAGCTGCAGGCGGTCCTCCAGGTGAGCCTGCTCCTCGCGGCCAGCGATAAGAGCCTGCGCCATGGCCTCCTCGCCGGAGACGCCATGCTCGGTTCTCTCAATGCTAGCGGTGGCGTGTCCGCCCTCCGAGTCAGGGTTTGCCGAGTACCGGCTGCCGCTCGTGAAACCGCCGCCACCGCCGCCGATACCATCGACGGGCATATTCTTGTTCTTCCTTGTCAGCGCCGCCGCTGCGGCGTCTGCCGCGCCCGCGCTCCCCCAGTCGAGGACCACACCGCTGTGGAGAGCCAGCTGTGGCATTGCGGTCGAGAGGGAAAGGCGGTGGTAGATGAAGAGACGAGATCGGGGCGAGAAAGGAGCAAAAGTAAAGCAGCACGTCCAACCTCGTGGGTTCTAGGATGGGTACGGGCCCAGCACCACAGAAAAAATAAAAATACGGGAGGAGCACGAGGTCTGCACCATAAACAAGTACAAGCAATTAATCACCGCTCCCCGCATCATCCGCGCCGAGCCGGCACCACAAAAAACACAAAAAAATAGTCACCCCTTCCCGCATCAACCACACCAACAAGAAACCCAAGACGGTACTATCCCTCGCTCTCTCCGGCCGACCACAACCCACTCCCACCCACCAAGTCGTCCTTCCACCACCGCCCGAGCTCCGCTCGTATCTCCCTCCTCCATTCCGCCGCCGCCCCATCCTGCCTCATCGTCGCCGACACCTTGTGCCGCTCCAGGTCCGCGGCGAGTAGGTCGGCGCGGGCGAGGGACTCCCTCGCACCCGCCTCCGCCGCGTCTGCCCGGGCGTTCGCCGCCGCCTCCCCGGCGACGGCCGCCGCTCGGCCCGCCCCCGCGGCGACGAGGTCCTCCACCGCCGCCGCAAACCGCTTCTCCAACAGCGAGACAGCCGCGACGGTGTAGTAGTTCCATCTCCCCGTCCCCGTTGACGCCTCCTCGCCGGCATCGTCGCCGCCGAACCGAATCCCGCCGCTGCCGCCACCACCACTGCCGGGCAACGCAGAGGAGGAGGAAGACTCTGCCAGGTGGCCGGCGTAGGAAAGCTGGCCTGCGGGCGGGACCGCGGCGGCGGCGGCGGAAGCGGCGGCCACGGAAGCTTCCGCCACCGCTGTGCGAGCAGACAGGCGACAGACTTCTTCCCGTGCTTCCTCCAGGGCGGTGGTGGCGTCGAGCTGCCCCCGCCGGGCGCGGGCGAGCTCCCACTCCAGCGCCCGCGCTCGGCGGACGGCGCGGGAGCACTCGCTGTCGAGGCGGACGGCGGTCTCCTGCAGGAACATCGCCGTCGCGGTGAGTTGACGCTCCGAGATAACCATTCCTTTGCTGCTGCCGCCGCCGCCGCCGCCAGGGACCACCGTTTCTTTTCCCCGACGGTACCCACCACCGCTCGGGCCTGCGACGTCGGCGGATGCCGAAGTTCGCTGCCGGCGGCGACGACGACTCTTGTTGTTGCCGTCGTTCTCGTAGTCGTCGCCCATGCCGTTCGAAACAAAAGCGCGCCACTGCGCCGCGAGCTCGGCGATCGCGGCGGCCACCGGCGACGATGCCACGGAAGCCGCTACCGTCGCAGTCGCCCCGCGCCGCCTTCCTCTCGTACCGTGACCGACCAGCGGCGGTTGCGGAAGGGAGGCGCCATCGAGGGACAACCGCTCGGCGCATTCCTTTATCCTCGCGTCGTGCGCTTCCGAGAGACGGAGAACTTCCTCGCGGTGATGTTGGCGACTTTCTCGGAGCTCGACGGCCAGTGCGTGGCACTCGGCCCTCGATGACGCTAACCGTTGGCAAGCGTCGTCAGCACCGAGCTCGGCGTCTCGAAGGGCCCTCCTGCAGAACAAGACCGCGGTCGCGGGAATAAGATGAGTGTAAAACGAAAATATCCATACGGCCCCTATTGGAGATAAAAAAACAGCAGAGAGGGAGTAAAAGGCCAGCGAAAGTTGTTTCGCACAGTACAGCTCTGGTCGACCAACGGAGGCTGCGATCTGTCTTTTCTTACAAATCGGCAAAAGCTGGAGTTCACACCACATCGTGTGCGTGTTTTCACAACCGCCTTTCCCACGTTGCAAGCAAAGTACGAGGCGCTCATTTTCAGCTACAGGGACAGCGAGGAATGTCTTCCAGAGTGTCGCAGAAGCGATTGCGCCGAGGGCCCTGGCACCACAACAATCACCATAATGGAGATACTTCAGGTACTCTGCGAACCAGCTGACTCTTGTGAACCCTTCCCGTTCGCAAGCCGGGACATGTACGACGCCGACGTGTAAAAAAAACAGCTAGCCCATCTGTAGACAGAGGTGGTATAAACTCACCGCAATTGAGACGCTTCCTCTCCCGCCTCCCGAAGCCTCGCAGCGCTCTCCGCACGAAGGCTGCCCAGCGCGGCGGCGGTCTTCCTCGCGGCGTTCTCCAAGGCACGGTTGCGCCTCGCCTGGCCTTCCTCCGCCCTCGCCGCCGCCCTGGTCTTCCTATCCCGCCGCCCCGCCTCCGCCGCGAGTCTTTCCGCCCGCCTCTCCGCCCGGCCCTCGCGAGCCAAGGCCGAGGTGAGACGCACGGTGAGCGCCACGCACCGCCTCGCCAAGCCCTGCGCCCCGACGTGGTTGAGGGCCCCTACCCCTTCTTCCCCGTCGTCCATACCGCAGCCAGAAACGTCGGCGGCCCAGAAGGACTTCAACGAACCCCTGCTAGTTGGCTTGCGGGCGGTCTCCCGATCTGTCCGAAGCCGCGGGCTGGAGGCCCCGACGGCAGCGCCGTCGATGTTAGCGCTGGGTGCCGCCACGCCGCCCTTTCTAGGCGGCGGCGGGGGGGCGAACGCGGGCGAGGTTTGGAGCGCCTCGATGGTGGAGGTGAGCACACCAATCTGCACGTCCTTCTCCGACAGCAGGGAGGTGAGTCGGTCCACCTCGATCGAGACGTTGCTATCATCACCATCACCACCACCACCACCACCGGTGGCGTCGATCTCCTTCAGCGCCGCCTCCGCCGCCGCGCAAGCACCGGAAGAGACAAGACCGTCTAGAAGCCCGCGTTCTTCATCTTCCACACCGCCGCCGCCACCGCTCAAAGGCTCGCTCTCGTCGTTGTCGGCTCCCGCTTCAGAAGAGCTAGGCCTCCAGGACCACCAGCCGGACTGAACCTGGCTGCGGAGGTCCCTGTTATGGGTGCGCAACGCCTCGATCTCGCCGGCGGCGAACTCCAGCTTCCGGCGAAGCGCGGCCTCGTCGCCCGTGTTGGCGAAGTTGATGGTATAATCTTGGCTGTTGCTGCTGCTGCCGCCACCACCGCCAGCGGGGGCGGCGAGCGACCGGAGGCGGCGTTCGTCCCTGGCTTCGAGTTCGGCCGCGTCTGCACGTCGGCGCTCGGCTAAAACCTCGTTCCTCAGGCTGTTTTCATCCAAAAGCAACGGAGGAAAACTAGCATAAATTAAGAGTATTTCGGGGCGATGGCTTGCACTGAAGAACGCGCCCGGTCAGCTGGGAGGGGAAAAGGGGACGAGGGCGGGTGTCCGGGTTATAGTTGGCTAGTGTACGGGCGTGCACCGTGCCGGAAGCTTTACAGCACAGGAGACACAACCAGCAGCACAGCGGCAGCGATCCCGAAGGATGCGTGGGACGCGGGCAAGCCTGAGGTGTTTCTCCCGACCAACCAAACACATTCAACAAACGTTGAAAAACGGAACGGGTGGGGGCACGGTCCAGCTAACCGACCAGGCCTGTTTTTGTCTTCACCTCTCGACCTCTTGCTCCAGGGCTCTCCGACGGCCGGCCTCCATGGCCGCCGCCGCCTCCTGCACTCCGGCCGTGACCCAGCACTCGTCCTCCTCTCGCCGCCCTTCAGACAGTGGTCTTCCCGGTGCACCTGAGCGTCCAGCTCCGCTGGCAGCGGCGGGAGCGGCCGCGGCACCGGAAGGGCTACCACCGTCCGCGGTGTCGCCTCGCGCGAGCCGGGCCAGTCGAGCGCATCGGTTCCGCATCGCCCAAACTTGATCCTCCATGTCCTGTCGTTCAGTTCACGTTTTTTTGGGGGGGGGATGGATGGCGTTATGTGGTCGGACAAGCCATGTTAAATAAGTGACGAAGGATAGAGCTTGGAGGGCTTTCCGGCGAGTAGTTCATGAAAGCAATCAACTCACTTCCTCGAGAACCTAAGAAATTACGCGCCTACTGCAGCTGCAGGCAAGTGTCGTCCAGGTCGGGCGGGGTGCAACGATCTACCGCCGTACTACCGACCGCCAGGCTCTTGTGCCCGCTTCATTCTGGCGGGGGATCCGCCCGTCCCTCTTGGTGCCGATACCGGTGTCAAACAAGCCGCAAGATTTTGTGAGACACACGATGTCTGTAACATTTTCGTTCGTGCAGCAACTCGTTGACGGAACGCGGTGAGGGCGGAGACACCACGCGCCTCCACGGGCCAAAGACCCAATCGTTGCCGCTGACCGTTTCACGATCTCGCAAACCGGCACCGTACACACCTTGACGCGGCGGGATTGCCGGTACAGCGTCCCGGCGAAGCGGTCTATCAGCGCCAGCGCGCTCACGGTGCCCCCCGCAACCCCATCAAGAGTCTGTTGTACCGCCATCCTGTCCACCTCCCCCTGGAGGTCTTCAGCTCTTGACAACGATGCCACCGACCGCCGCTTCTCGTCTCTCTGCAGTAGCGAAGGAGAACATACATGCGAAAAAAAGCGGCACGATAAGGCGGGACGTGGAAGAATGAGATTATTGGTATCGCGAGGCATGAGGAGGGGTGGGGGTAGGGTGCTTGAACGGACGGACACTGGACTGGTAGAGCCTTTTCCGTGTTGGAAAGAGAAATACAAGCATCACGCGTTCAATCTCACGCCAAGCGCAAAATCTCACGGCGACACGGTCAGTATCATCCGGCGACTAATGAACCCGTCTGGGTCAGGTGATTCCTGATTGATTCCTGGTGAAGAATGGTGCGAGTGTCCTCAAGTCACCGTCGGTCCAGTAGATGCCCAATCTTTTCAAGAGGGGCTAGACCGAAACTACGGGACAAGCGGTTGATCGACAGGTGGGAAACCTCTCGTTTCGCACTCCATCTCGTCTCCAAAACAGCCCACGACAATTTCAAAACAGTAGTGCAAATCGCCCCGCCACCCCCCCCACCCTCGCGTCCGACCGTAGAAACAGCGCAGCAATATCGTTTGTGGCTTTTGGAGCACATCTCACCAACAGCTGCGCGTGAAGCTCGACTTTCCCCTCCGTCCGAATCAAGGCCAACTTCAGCGCCGACATCGTCTCACGGGCGACCATCAGCGCCTCGCGGGTGTCTCCCCGCGCGTGAAGATCCGCAACCCGACCTTCCATCTCCGCCAGGTCCGCACTCTCGACGAGCTTCTGCGTCTTCGTCGACGAGCCCTCAACGCCGACACCCTTCAGCCCATCACGCTCCTTGGCCTCCTCCTTAGCCGAACGCTCCTCGTCGCGACGACCGCTGTCCCTAGTCCTCGCAAGGATCTCCGCTTTCAGCACTCTCTGGCGCAGGGCTACGACCTCCAACCCTTGCTCCTCGAGCAGCCGGTGCAGCCGCCGCGCTTCTTTCCCTCCTGCCCCGTCCCCACCCTCGGCGACGCCCCCACCACCATGAGCGGCCGCGCTTGCCCTGCCAGCAGCTTCCCTCTCCGCGCGCCTCCTCTCGGCTTCCGCCAGGTGCAACCACCACTCATTGGCGGCGAAATCTTCCGCTTCTCTCTCCTCTGCAGCGGGACCGCGGCCTCCCGATGTCGCAGGCTCCGCCGCACCGCGGAGAGTCCCGCCATCAGCACCGGCAGGAGGAGGAGGAGGAGGAACCCCGGCCGGCGCTGCCTCGAACCCAGTCACGCCTTGCTCGGCGTTGAGGGGGGGGGAGGAGGGCGGCGTACCGGCGGCGGCGGCGACAGTGACCGACGCCTCCGCTACCGTTGCCTCCGCCTTCCTTAGCCGCTCTTCTCGGTCGAGCACGGTGCGACGCGCAGTCTCCTGCAGGCGCTCCAGCGCCCGAACCCTGTCTCTGAGCCTCGCTTCGCGCTCGCGGTGCTCTGCCGTGGCTTGCTTCAAGGCCGCGTCCTTCCGGGATAAGGCGACCGTCTGGGCGGAGAGGGCCGACTTCAAGTTTGACGTGCGCGCGGGGCGCGTGAGATTAGGTACACGATTTGGAGATGGAGGCGTCGGAGGCGGTGTCGGTCGGGTCAGAGGGTCGGCGTTTCGAACAGTCGGGGGGGAGGGGGCATGCGATAAGCCGCACTGGGGAAAACCACGCCGACGCAATCACAGCGAACAAGTACCGGGAAGGTAGCCCGCCGCCAAAGGTGCGAGATGTGAGCCATCCAGCAACCAATAGACGCGTCCAAACTACCATTCCGAACAGTAACAAATTGAAAGGTGCTGAGTAAGAACCTCTGCTTGTTCCGATTACTGAATTCGTGCAAAATGGGTCCCATATCTCCCTACCCTGCAGTCAAACAGGTCGCAATACTAGACTGAACAAATATGATTCTCCCGCCCTGCCAAGCCGTCGCCACCCATATATATCTGAGTTGTTCTCAGCTTTCACCAACTTCACTGGCCATGCACCTGTAGTGAACCCATATTCGTACTTGATGCTCAACATTACAAAAAACAACATGACGATACCCCAAACACGCGAGTACGGCTCGATAGTGGGTCAAATTCAAGACTTGCACCTCAGCTGTTTGCTGAGCACTGCTGAGCACCTATCCCTGCCTACCTCAAGCCGAGACACCTCCGAGGGGAGATCACCCGTCGCCACCCTTTCCGGTGCCGGTCCCTTTCGCGGTGCCCCCATACCCTCTCGCCGCTCTTCGTCGTCAGCGCAGGCATCGTACTCCGAGTACAGCGGGGGGCGATGGGTCGACACGGACCCCCGACCGCCGCGGGAAATGGGGTGTACGGCATCGCCCCTCCCCTCTTCGCCTTCGGTGACTGTGGTGCGAGAGGCATTGTCGGGTGCAGTGGCAGACCGCAGCCTTATCACCTGTCGAGTTGGGAGGCAAAAAATACGTATCCAAGGAGGCTTACGTTGCTCAGGCCAGACCCGACGAATAAACGTAAAAGGATGCTTAGGAAAGAGCACATCGGCAATGTTGCGAGAGGACTCGTACATAGTAAACGTGACTAGCCGAGGTATCACGCAGGTTACCACCGCTTGCTGTGCCAGCTTCCACGCTTTCATAACTCTCCTCAGAATGTCGGCTGACTCGTGTTTGCGTACCCCACACATCAAAATCAGACCAACCCGTCGCAACCATGTACCATTGCGTAGTCTTGGACGAGTTGTTTCATGCGCCTCCATCGCACCAACAGCACTGTAATGTAGACAAACTAATCTCTCTCTGTAGGTCGCTGTAGCCCCCCCACAGATCGGGTAGCAACGACAGGGCTGCACACTCTGCATCCGATACCCCGAAGCGTTCACCTCCTGGAGCAAAGCCTCTATTTGGTCCGCCTGTTCCTCGACACGCCCCTCCAGCATCTCAACAACTCCGGCAGTAGCGGATGTGTTGTTTTTCATCTTGTTATTCGCGCCCCCGCCCCTGGCATCACAATCACCGACACCTGCCGCCGCCACCGATTTTTCGAGTGCAGCTCTCTGTCTGGCGCTATTGTTGCGCTTGGCCACGACTTCGCCAAGCTCCCGGATCTTGGCATCTTTTTTCCGCAGGAGGACCAGCGCTCTGTTCTTTTTCTCCTCGAAAGCCTCTCGTTCTCTCCACACGGCGAGGTCGGTCAGGCGAGCGACGCTGGGGGAAGCAGCGCGGAGCTCGGACACCAGGGCCTGTTATGCGACGGGTTGCGTTAGTGTAAGGGCTGTTCACATAAATGTGCTCCTCAACTGCTGCCTGCGACAAAGTTGATGTCATCTGTCGGTGGTAGAGATCGAAATCAATTCGTTCTCGACGAGCCCTCCGATCTTGGCGTATCCAGTGATGCGGCGATTTCCATCGGTTGAGTGACAAGTCTCCTTTGCCCGCGATCACACCGTTTTCTAAGAGACGCACGGGCGGCATGTACGTGTTAACCGGGGGCAAGAGGAGAAGACGCAGACGTATCGGTTTTGTGACAGAGCCACACACGGCGGACCTTCACACCATCGCTTCGAAAACTGTTTGCACAAAGCCTGCGCTTGATAAAAAAACACTCGCGTAAATATGAGCTAACCTGGAGTCTTGCGTTCTCCTTCTTTAGCAAGCGTTGGGCGTTACCACTGCCGCTGTCGACCAACCCGACTGGTGCTGCCGCGGCCCTCCCCTCCATCTTATCGGCAGCAGCCCCGCAGTGTGCTGTTGGGGCACCGCTGGTTTGGCGCAAGGCCTGCAACCCGTGGCAACGCAACAAAAGTTGTAACTTTTTAGGGCGGAGACTTCTTCTGGTTGGCCGTGCACGGAACGACGTACAAGGACAAGCGGACGATCCACATGTGCCGTAGACCTCACCTGTCTCCTGTGATACATCCCACATAAGGAACCTATTGGATCTGTAAAGAGTCACTGTAACAAGCCGTAGGCCGACCTCGCCTAGAGGCTCTGTTTTGTAGTCTACATGCCGACATGAACATGACGTTGTACCGCCGGGACTCACGAGTGGTTGTGTCGCGTGTGCCCGTGTGTCTACAAGAGCGAAAAAAGTTGTCATGAACGCGCTGTCATCTGTCGGCAGGGGCACATCGCCTGGTTGGTGTCGGCAACGGCACACAATAGTCGCTAAGGTGCAATGTTGGTGTTCAGCAGTACAAGGAGTAGTAGGCTCACCCCCGCCTACACTGGCGTCTTGGACTGATCTGTCCATTCACGTCTCAAAAATGGTACCATACATTACTGGGGTCTGTTGTTGGATGTGGGCGGGGATCAGAGTTGGCTTCGTACACCGTGTCCCCGAGAGTACGCAAGGACCATGTGCGCCACTAGCCCCACGACCAAATTTACAGCAGCAGCGCCACGGTGGCGTGGAATCGCCATCCCCTTGACTCTAGGGACATCAAACCAACCGTCATCCGAACCTCCTTGGATACGCAAAGCTACATTTCCGAGTTTCCCTTGTGATCAATCGACACAGGCGTGGGCGTACAGTAAAGCATTTCTCCTGAAGCAGCCACACGCACCTGTGCCATTACCGAGAGGTAAACCCCTGGGTTTCTCCCACAACTCACGAATGCACAGCAGTTGGCATCATGCATGTGCTGAGCTCGTGCAGATGTAGATCATGAGGCCCCGCAGTATGAAACGCACGTAACATGGGTATCCATGCATGCGCTCCTCTGCCCTCGAGGCTGTCTCACCTGCTGTGGCCTGCTGGTCGGCGTGTATGCAGCCATACCGATCGGCAACATCTCGCTGAGGGGGGACTTGCACCGCTGGTTTTCGATCATGGCAACCTGGAAAGGAGGACCTAAGCCCCCACCGAGAGTGGTGGCGCCAAACAAGCTCTGGCACGCGTTCAAGCACAAGAATTTGGACGTGTTCAAGTGTGAGTTGATGTGCCCCGACTTCGTTGTTGTTGCAACTCCCTCCGTGCGCCCGCTACTCTTGATGTTCTGTGCCTGGCACGTGGCATCTTGTTCCTTAGCGGCTGCTTGAAGTGCATGCAGCTAGCGTGAGGGTTCTTGATAGGGAAGGGGGTTTGTTTATGAGAAGCTACCTTGTGGGTTGTGGATATCTGTCCGGACCGCGCGCGCGCCCAGGGGAGAAAAGAGTCCGTTGACGGTTCTCGCTCATTATTTCGCCGCTTCGCCAGCCTACACATACCAGTTGCTTACGTTTGCCTTTCCTCCGATGCCTGCCTGGTTGATCTTTGCCTGCCTCCGCAGTCGATCTAGATGCCGACGAGGATCAGAACTACGTTTCTGCATCCGAAAGATTTCTGGAATTCCAGACACAGGTGAGAACCGAGAGACCACACCGTCACTATTGTTGTACCATCAATGGAAGCAATTGCCCTTTGTTCGTCACCGACTCATGAGAACGTGGCTTTCGACTGGAATAACAGCCGTTCACGTGCGCATTAGACGGTAGTATAGCTATGCACTGCTGCAGTCCGGACCACTTGCAAGAAAAAGGTTTCTTTGTTGCGATCGAAGCGTTTCCGGCATCGGTTGCTAATTGACGTACGAAGTATGTATTATGTCCTTGACCAGCCCTCTTCGCCATGCCCCTTCCGCAGCCGTGTCTCTTGAAAATAACCATTCGACTTTCCATGCTGAGAGGGTGGGTGCTCTACATGGCCGTCTCCACATTGTCTCTGTGGGGCAAGTGACTGTGGGGCAAAAGCCAACCTAACCCAGCCCGTCTCTCCTCCAGGAGCCCTCTCCTATCGATCACCGCTGTCTGATCCCTTGTGGAGCTGTAGACGAGGCTTTGGGCTCCTCGTGGCGATTTGCACTAAACATCCACCGAACATGATCGTTAGCATCGTGCTTGTCGCGTTGTACAAGCATGATGGCCCCCGTGCACTGCTGCAGCTCGTGTACCGAAAGAAGCTCTGGAGTGCGTCTGCGTGTACGCGGGAACTGCGGGGCATAGTTACTGCTGCTGTGATCCCAGATTCCTCCCTCTGACAAATGACAGTAAATAAAACTGCTGTATGCTACTTGTCCATCACCAATGCACGACTACAATACGCATGCTTACATCCACCGTAGCTTGCACACATGGTTCAGCCCATACCTTGTTGATGCACTTCAGTACATATCATACGAACATCGCATGTCAAGAAGTTACTCCGTGGGTAAGGGCAACGTTACTTGGCGACACAGTCCTTGCTCCCTCCGTCTATAATCTCACGCGTCCACGACGCAACTCTCTCTCTCTCTCTCTCTCGCTCTCTCACTCTCTCTCTCGCTCTCTTTCTCTCTCTCATGCTGCGTTCGTTTCTCATCCACGGTGCCCCCTTCTAAAAAACAAACGAAATACGTGCCGCCACCACCCAACAGCTCGGCATGGTGCTGCATCACACACAACTGTTCCGGAAAACACTGGAGGAATCCCTGCAGCACGCGGTGGAGCTTGCGGATGATTTCGGAAGGGTCGCGGCCGGGAACGGAGGAGGGCGCACGATGGAACCGTGGGCGCACAAGGCCGGGGGCCAGGCGTTCTTCCTGAAGGCGATGCTGGAGGAAAGCGCAGTCTCCCTTCGACAGTGAGTTGTGCTCGGTTGCGTGTGTACGCGCAGGAGTGAACGCTGCGTATGCACATGTCGTTGTGCTTCCTTTACAGACGGAGAAAGAAGGAACATTGGAAAACTAGCCGCTGGGCGGTAGTTCGCCTCCTTCTACGGTTAACGGTTACATGTAGCGAGGTGCAAACGCTGAACGCGCCGAAGAAGGATGGTATTGGACTGCCCATCCCCGGGGGCGGGACGTGTTCAAGGAGGGCGTCGTGTTTTGCTCGGCGCCTGTTTTTTTTCCATACGTTTCGTGAGGATTTCGAATGGCACCGACCGGCCCGGAAAGACAAACGTTGCCTGTCGAGGACGGCAGCAACTCCTCTTTCACAGCTCTCTGTTTTATCGTGACTGGAGGTGGGGGCGCAGTGCACCGTCGCGGAAAAGGGGCAGTGAAACGGTTTTCTTCCCCAAATCTCAGAGAAAAAGGAAACCGCACATAGCGTAGAGGACAACCAGCTGTCCCGCTTGTTCTTGGTGCAAGCAACGATGAGAGAATGACCCACGAAAGGTGACGTTGCCGCCGACTGAACCGAACGACAACGCCGCGTACCAGACCCACCAATCACACGCGCATGTGCTGTTTACTTTGTAGCTTTGAGCAACAGGTCCTGGATAGCCGTTTGACGCAGTTTTCTCCATTTGTCCACGAACGGAGAGTCTTCTCTCTCTCGTCATCGAGTCGAGTCAAATGGCATACGATCATGTTCGGTACCCCCTCCTGTTTGACCCTTGATGGTTGTAGTTGTACGACATAATACATGAAAAATGTAGTACTCTACATTCACTGAAGAGTGTAAGTACACCTCTCGCCACGAAAATTGGGGGGACTGTGAGAATACCCTTGCTCCGTTATGAGCAAAGGTCTCGAAGTGGTGAATAACCGTTCACCAATAGAGGTAGTTTCGCTCTTATTGCAATGTGGCAAGGAATGACCAAGCGTGGCTGACGTTAGTCGGTCTTACTAAAATGAAAGGTAAGAGTGAGCTTCAGGGCTCGCTTCCACCCTCCGGCTGGTTCACAGCAGACGGAGGGTCTTTTCGTTGTAAAGATCTTCAGAACTCGGGAACGTCGTTCCGAGGGTCACGGATCTATACGGTTGTATGTGCGTCCCTACTACTGGGAAGATACCTATATCCTGGTTTCCACAACTGTCGCCATCGTATTTTTATGACCAAAACACACACAGATAACAGCTGTCGGGGAGGTGTTTTCGAAAATGCCAAGGTCGATACAGCCGTGTTAAAAGACGTGTTGTTCATCCTCTTCTTTGTTGTCGAAGAATGGGGAGTGGGATAGCGACCGCCGCACCACTACACCACTACGATCGGCAAGCTCTTCTCAGTAAAGAACCTCGTTCCTGAAGCGACAAAATAATACCCTTCCCGAACCGGCATGAACATGACACTAAACCCCAGTCGGAAGAATCCCGAAACCAAACAACACAGGGTATACGGCAGGTGTTCCGGGCGTGTTGGCTTTCGCAATCGGGAGAGCGCTGCTGGCCAGCTTCAGCTCCCCCCGGAACGGAAATAGTAATCAAATCAACCGTGGCTTGTGCAATGGCCTACCTCTTAACACCGAAGTGATATGGGAGCCACGGTAGCGGATAGAAAAGTTCCTCTTAGGAACGAACAACGCGGCGCTCAATCCTCGTTCCAAAGGAGAAGAAAAATATATATTCGAGGTAGCTCACCACGCGCTCTCAAGTCAAGCACCATCTCCGTTTCCAATCGCCAATGGGTCCACTACCGTGTTAACCGACTGTTTAGATGTGGGGACTTGAATGAAGTTTCGTTGGACCCACTCGTGTGTTGCCCATGACGATAGCCTGTGCTCTCCGTTGCTACCGTCCGCTTGTTACATACGTCGGCATATGCGTCCCCCTTAATTTCTATCGTTCCTGGTTTCCTCTCGTGCGCGGTGGGTTGCACCCGAACGGCGGCGGTGGCGTACCCTTGCTGTTAATGTTTTGTGTGTAGTTATCCCCACAATTGTTTTTTAATGTATTTTTCGTTGGTTTTCCTTTTTCTCGTGTTGGGTAACCCTCCCTCACGGTAGGCACTTGTGTGACGAGCTGGAGGAGAAGGTGGTGCGGTCCCTACGAGAAGAGGTGGCCAACTTCAGCACGGTGCACACACAGATGCTGGAACGGTCGAACATGAAGGTGGGTCCGTGTGTCTCTTTTCTTTGCACCAGCTGCGGTTCTCGAGCAGCTCGGCCGATTACCACGCGGTGCGAATACTAGCATTTTCAACGGAGGGCGGGTGGATAACGAACACGATGCGTAATGATGGTCCCCACATTTGGGGGGCACACGGTGGAAGTTTTTTATGGCGTGTAGCGCTATGCTTTGGACAGTCTCAAGAACGCCAGCCAAGTAGGCTAGCGAGCAACTCCCCCCCCCCTCCCCCCAACCAAGTGGAAGAAGTTGGCACACTGAAGAATAGTGCGAGGGCAATCGCTACAAGTCAGAGGTTAACGGGAAGACTGAAAGCCAAAACCCGGTGGCGATGACGAAGTTGAATGTTCTCCCTCAGAAAATGACATGGTGCAACGTGACGCGTCGGCGGTGTCTCCGTTGAGAGTAGTTTGAGAATTTCGGTGCTTCTATATTCTGGGATGGGGTGGTCTACTAGTTTGTCCAAAACGAATGAAGGCAGTCAATAAATGAGCACCCCCCCTAACTGCTAAGGCATGCAAAACATGAGTACGCCACCCTCCCCCATTCTCCTGTGTGCGTCACCCTCTACCCGCGCCCAGATGGAGATGCTCCACTACTCCAACAAGGTGCAGGAGCTGAAGGGCAGCCAGAAGGCCACCGACGAAAAGAAGGACCGTAACAAGGAGAAGTACGCGCAGGCGTCGCAGGCCCTGAGGGACCAGACCAACCAGCTCATGTCCATCTTCGCTCACGCCGAGCAACTGCGGCAGCGGCTCCTGACCCAGGATTTCCCCTCGATGATTACGGCGGAGAAGAACGCCTTCGACGCCTTTGCGATCAACCTGAACAAGGCGGCGGCGGAGACGTCGGACGGGGAGCCGCGACCCCCTCGGATGTCGGACGCAGCTCGGGCCCCCCAAAGGTAAATCGGCTGTCATCGTCGTGTTTGAGTTCTTTGTTGTCATTATCATCGTTTTTGTGTGTTTTTTGTTTTCTCGTCGTCGTCGCCATTATGTGAATATTTGTGTGTGTATTTTTTTCCTTTTCTTACAGAAACGAACCAGATCTATCTCCCTCTACATATTCACAGAGGAACCGGAGGGTCTCGGACGAAGTTGGCGATGGACTTGTCATGTTCCAATGTTTGTCTGGCCTACCGACCTGTGCTTGGTGCCCCATCTCTGAGCGTGATTGTTTCTTGTCCGGACACGCTGAATTGCCATGGTGTTTTCTACAACCTCTCAGTGTCCCAATCCTCGTCGTTGCACCCCCTGGTACGCCGCACTCTTGCATGTGGGTGGTTTATCTTCCCTCGCCCCTTCCCCTGGCTCCACCTTTCATGGCCTCTCAAACCCAGGGTGCCTCCCGCCCCCGCCCCCGCCCCCGCCCCCCCCTCACCCGCCGTACGGCGCGTTTTTCTCTCTATGTATTGTACCATGCATGCTGCTGTGGTGGTCAGGGTGATGCCACCGAGTGACTTCCCCACGTCTCCGAACACCAACGCCATGGCGGAGGTCTCGCTGGAAGACACGATGTCGCCGAGGGGGGGTACGGCGCCTCCGGCCTACACTTCGCCGTTCCCGGTTAAGGTCGAGCCTCCTCCGCCGGCGGCGGGGGAGGTTACCCCGACGGTGGTCAAGAAGCGGAG